AGTCTCCCCTACCGTCCCGCACAGTTCCGTCGTACTTCACGGACAGAGACTCGAGGGACTTCACGAGGCACCTCTGCAGGTAGCCTGACCTTGCCGTCTTCACCGTCGTGTCCACGAGGCCCTCCCTGCCCGCCATGCAGTGAAAGTAATACTCCTGAGGCTGCAGGCCAGTGAGGAAGCGGTCTGCAATGAAGCCACAGCTACGGGGTTCCAGCGTGTAGGGCAAAAAGCATGGCAAGGTCTTTCCCGATTCCATCCTTGGCACCCTCCTGCCCTCCAAGGTCTGCTGCCCGAGGAGCACACTGATCTGCGAGTGGTTCACCATCGATCCCTTGGCCCCGCTGCACGTCATCATGTTGAAGTTGTTCTTCGGAAACTGCTTGGTGCTGCCCGCGGGCAAGCAAGAGTTCACTGCGACACTGCTAATGGAATTCAGTGCTCCCGTGCAGACGGCATCGAATCTGGCGCCAAACGCCTCCTTGTTGTGGCCCAAGAGCTCTTGCCTCAGGTTATGCTCGAGCCGGCCTCTCGATGGGTCGTCCATCCCGAGAAGCTCCATGGTGGCCCTGTTGACGTCCTCGGAGGACTGCTTCAGGGCGTCCCGCCTGCTGGCCTCGCTCTTGCCGTCGAGCAAGAGGTCATCGATGCTGCAGGTGAAGCCCCGAAGCTGCAGGAATTTCGTGTAGAGTCTGCTGAAGCAGCTCATGAGGTTCGACATGGTGTCCGCGCCGTAGAGCTCCTGCACGCTGTGAACCAGGCCGTACTTTCCATACTGAGCCTTGTCCACGACCCCGTGGATCAGCTCCGCATTTCTGACGTAGACCTGGCTCTCAAGGCTGCCCTTGCAAAAGTAAGTCTTCGCGACCTTCGTCTTGTAATCTCCGGTGAAGGAGAACTTGGTGTCCCCGAGGACGTTCGCGAGCACGCTGGAGATGACCTGCTTTCCCGTCCACAGCCTCTGGGGCTTGAGCAAGGTGGGCGGCAGAAGCTGGACTGCAGAACGACGACAGGGGGATTCACTCCTCTTCCTCTTCAGCATGCAGCACGCCTCGTACACCAGGAGCTCGTAGTGCTTCCTGTCCAAAAAGGTGTCCTGCATCGTGAGGTAGACGCTCGAGATGACGTGGTCCTGGATCAGCCCCTTGATTGGCTTGCCGTCCGTGGGCACGTTAAAGTTCTCGCTCGAGTGCATGATGGTGTAGGCCTCGGCCCTGGACATCTGGTCCTGCGGCAGATGCAGGTTAATCTCGTCGCCATCGAAATCAGCGTTGTAGCCCGAGCAGTTGGCGTAGTGCAACCGAATGGTCCTCTCCCCCTGGAGGACCCTGCAGTTGTGCGCAAGGATGCTGGGCTTGTGCAGCGTGGGCTGCCTGTTCACGAGGACCACGTCCCCGGTCTGAGCGTGCCTGTGCACGATCTTCCCCTCGCCCACGCCAATGAGCTGGCTCAGCTTGTCCCTCTTGGAGTTGGAGCCCTGGGTGAGGTGGATCTTCGACCCGTTCCTCTCGTCCTCGACCATCAGCGCGCCGGGGTACTTGCAGCCGCCGTTCTTCACCCTCTTGGCCAGGGAGGCCGCGTTGTGGGCGTTCACGTGCTCCGGGAAGCTCAGCCTCTCTGCGAAGTAGGGCGGAATGCCGATCTCACCCAAGGAGATATAAGGGTCCGGCGAGATGACCGACCTCGCGGCGTAGTTCACCCTCTTTCCCATCATGTTCATCCTGAAGATTCCCTCCTTCTTCTCGATCAGGTTCTGCAGGCCCATCATGCCGTTCTGATCTCCCATCAGGAGCTTGTTGCAGTTCTCTTGCATGGACACCCACAGCCGCTGCAGCTCCTGCAAAAGGACCGACGAAGAAGCGTCCTTCTTGTTGAGGTCCAGGATCGAGGCGAGCTTCAGGTTGGCGTTCAGGATGTCCGTGTAAATGATGTTATGCTGGTGGTCGAACATCTCGTCATTCACCTTGCTCATGGGTCTGAACCTTGGCGGGGTGACTGGCAGGACGCTCAGGAACAAGAAAGAAGCGTCTGGAGTAGCAGCAGCAGCAGCAGTAGTAGTAGTGGAAGAAGAGCATGGCTTGGATTGCGTCCTCATGAGCTGCCCGAAGATCTCGTGATTCTGGACGGCCGTCCTGTCCAGAATCATCTTGACCTCCTTCGGGGAGATGAAACGAAGGTGTGAAGAGGAGGAGGATGACGATGATGAAGAGGGCTGCTTCCGCGAGACCTCCTCCGCCTCCGCCTCCGTCTTCTTCTTCTTCTTGTCCTCCTTCTTCGCCTTCTTCGAGCCGAGCTCCTCGGACGTCTCGGAGGACTCCGAGTCCGAGTCCGACGACGTCGACGTCTCCGAGTCCTCCTCGGTCTCGCTCGCCTCTCCTCCTCCCTTCTTCAAACTCTGCGCCCCGGTGTCCGTGACCCTGTCGCTCACCACCTGCAGAATCCTCGAATTGTTGTCCAGGACATACTTTGGGCTGCTCGCCTTGCACTTCGTGCATGTCTTGACGTCGCACTCGGAGAAGAACTTCTCCAGCAGGGTCTGCGCTGCCGCCTCGTCTCCATACGACTGCGGCGTCTTCTGGTACAATTCCATCGAAGAGGAAGAAGAGGAAGATGAAGGACAGCTGTCCTTGGGATGGTTTCTCAATCTCCTCAGAGTCTCTGCGTACTCCCGCACAACCTTGTCGCTCGCTTTCAGCGAGAAGCACTTGTGGCACGTCAAGCTCAGCAACTGCACGGTAAACTTGAGGAACAACGGGTTGTACAGAGGAAGGCACAACTCGATGTGGCCAAAGTGTCCGGGGCACGATGAGTGAGGCAATCTGCATGTCGTGCACACCCCACCGATATCCGCCGGACCCATCCTCGTGTCGTACAACCCCGAAGGAATCGGAGCACTCGTCAAGGGATCCAGCGAGGATGGCACGGTGATGCAAACTGAACTGAATTGCCGAACCTCCGATGGTGTGTACGTCGACAACGACGTCGAGAACACGGACGTCTTCCCGCTAATCAAGTGAACCATCTTGAAGTTGGATCTTACCAAAGACAAAGACAAAAAAATAAAAATAAAAACAATGCAAGATGCTCCTCCTCCTGCTGCTTGCTGATGGCTGCGGCGGCGACGGCGTTGGCGTCGAGCAAGAGCAAGAGCAAGAGGAAGAGAGAGAGAGACAAAGAGCGAAGTTTTCTGCGCGTTTCCTTGCCTTCTCGTCGTGTGGTGTTGGGTTGGCTGGTGGTCGCGCGGTGCTGACCTCTGGCGTGCTCTGGTGCTCGCTGCACTGGCGGCCAGAAGGAGAATGAAAGAGGAAAGGCGGATCGGCGGTTATGGAGAGGAGGAGGTGGTGAGGAGGTGGTGAGGGAGGAGGAGGAGGAGGTGAATGGCAAGGGTCTTGGTTAAAAATTAGCATAGAGAAGATCGACGACTCACTGATGCGGGTGCGAGTCAGCATCCGCCGTTTGTATGACCGCCCAGTTAGTGTCCTCAAGTCCAGTTCCAAGTCCAAGGCGGGTTCTGGCTTCGAACCCACTGCAGAACGTGAAGGTGACCTTCTTCAGCTGCCACAGCAAAACAAGTGTTCGCGTTCCAAGGACAAGGCGGATCCTGGCTTCGAGCCCACTTGAGAACATCAAGGTGACCTCCTTCACAGCTGCCTCAAAACGAGTCCCCTCGTCCCAATCACAAGGCGTCAAAGTCAAAGTATCAAAGTAACTCCTCTATATAGGTACGATTAGAAGTCTGGAAGTTGGCATACTAGCGTCGTAAGCTTGGTGGTATTTCTGACGCGCGGCCGCTCTCCTCGTAGTGCTTCACCGTGTCTCTTTTGGCATCAGCGGATATGTCATCCATGTGTGCGCGATACTCGTGTGGTGGTAGCCACCCGGCGAAGGCGCGATGCTCTTCTCTGAGGTACCGCAGACGTTTCTTGTAAAACTTGGTGCTGTGAAGCCACCGCATTTCGAGCATGGTGATGGCAATGGAATCAGGGTCGCCATGGCCGTCGCGGATCCATCCGTTGCACAGCCGACTATCGGCGCGTGGCTGCAGAGTCGAATCCAGCCGGTGCATCGCGGCGCAAAGCACCTGGCGACGTTCGGCCTGCTCAACCTCCGATGCTTTGCGTTTCCGTGCCTGGGTGGCACGGATAGCGCCCGAGCGCTGTACGCGCTTGCGCCTTGCGCTCTTCAAGCCGTCCGTCATGCCGTACTTTGCGCGAGCAACGTCCATCACGTCCGTCGCGTCGTACAGATGCGCCACACGGATCCGATCGAGCTCGACTGCCTCGTAGCTGAGCGACCGCAGGTCTTGTGCGCTGAGCAGCAGTATTTTGTTCGCGTTGCCTTTTGTGAGCTTGTCGCCGCGACGGCCCATGTGCTCGGCGGTTTGGATCCAACACGCAAGCGACTCATTGACTGTATCGCGCAACGTAGTCGATACCGCGGCCACCCGCCCCAGATCCTCAAATGACCGCAGACCCTGCAATGCTACAATGCGGAGAATGGTATCGCCGCTCATGGTGGGCCCCTCCAACGCGTGCTTGGCCTCCGTTCTCCGCCTCTTGCTCGCTCCCCTCGTCACCGCCATCTTCACGTCCGGGTGTCCTCAGATGATCCCCACCACCGGGTCGTTCTCTTCGAGCGAGAGGGCTCGTTCGAACGAGCGAGAGACGCTGGTTCCGTTCTCGTATCACTCCTCCGGCACAAACTCCCGCCCTCGTCGCCGCCTCCCTTCCTCGGTGATCTCCGCCTCGAGGGTCCTTTCTGCCTCTCTTTTTCGTGTTTCGTGCTCCTCAGATCCTCACCACGGGGTCGTTTCTTTCGCGCGAGAGCTCGTTCGAATGAGCAAGAGAAGAAGCTTCCGCTGGTCGGCCTCTCCTCCGCTATGACGCCCCGTCGTCGTCGTCGTCGTCCTCGTCGTCGTCGTCGTCGTCATCGTCGCCGTCCTCAGCAGTTACGATCTCGTTGTCCTTGTATAATTAACGTCTCTCTCACCGAACAAAAAAAGAAGTTCCCGCCGGGATTCGGACCCGGGTCTTCAGATCTCTCACCGAACGTAAGCTGGACTTTTTACATTGATTTCCCTCGTTCAAAGTCTAATGTGCTAACCACTGCACCACGGGAACACGTAAGATGGAATTCCTACACCATCGCGAATTGTGGAATGAAGAGCAGAATCGTGCTCCAAAATCGTCTCTTTTCTTCCTACATATACAGGTGGCGTGTGCATTGTGGACAAGGATGCAAGGTCCTTTCCTTCCTCTCCTCTTCCTCCCATGCCATCACCATCATGATTGCCCAATCGCACCATCATTGCCCTGTGCAGGCAGGAAGGATGCAAGGTCCTTTCCTTCCTCTCCTCTTCCTCTCCTCTTCCTCCCATGCCATCACCATCATGATTGCCCAATCGCACCATCATTGCCCTGTGCAGGCAGGAAGGATGAAAGGGATCACTCCTCCTCCTCCTCCTCCTCCTCCTCCTCCTCCTCCTCCTCTCCCGACTCTCTCTCTCTCTCTCTCTGTGCCCCCTCCTTTACACTCCCTCGTTTATCTGGACCACCTTGTCCCCCTTTTTCCGTCGGTTTACGATAGTTCCGAGTTGACAACCGAAAACGAAAACTGCTGCTCTCCAGGTCCAGGAGGATCAAGCGGCCCAAGGTGAGGTGCTCCACAGAGGCTTGGCTTGGGACTAGAGTCTCTCTCACCCTCATCATCATCATCATCATCATCACCACCACCACAACACAAGCTCTAACTCTCTCTCTAACTCTCTTTTGTGTGTGTGTGTGTGTGTGTGTGTCCTCCAGGACGACCACACCAATAACAAACCAAGGTTTCTTCTTCTTCTCTTGTGCAAGCAAGCGAGCAAGCCTTGGTCGGTCCTCCAGTGGCTAGGGAATGCAGTGAGATCTTGGCGATAGACGTGATCCACGCACGATTTGTGTGGCCAACGCTTCCCCTTGCCTTGCATTGGACACATACAAGGCAGAGGGAGTGAAGGACATCCATCCCTTTATCCACCAAGCAAGCAGGCAAGCAAAGTGAAGAGTGGTGGTGGTGGTGTGATCAATCCAATCCGATCCAATCCGATCCGATCCGATCCCAATCCAACGACCATCATCATCACCATCATCACCATCATCATCCAGTGAAGCACCACCACAACATGGACAATCACCACCGCAACCACAACAACAACGACGACGATGAGGACGTCAACGATAACGATCGGGTGAGCATGAACACGATGCTTCCCATGACCCACGAGGAGACGGTGGAGAGGAAGGAGCTGGAGGAGATCAAAGAGATCGAGATCGAGGAGTTTCAGAACGAGGAACCGTCAGCAAAGCCGCTGCCGCCCTCCTCGCCGTCGTCGTCGTCGGAGAAGAAGAGCAGCAGGAGACTGGTGTCCTGCTTGCAGTCGATGTGTGCAGGAGCCTTCTGGATGGGCAGGTGCCTTGGGCAAACGTGTTGCAGCGTCTGCGGAGAGAAAGCCGCAGACCACACCCTGGATGCTCTGGGCACCGTTGTTTGTGCCGCTGGCGGAGTCGTGGGCACCGTTGCCAGTGCCGCTGGCGGAGCCGTGGAAGCGGTACTGAACTAGACTTTCAATGTTGGGAATGAATAATGTACAAGTGAACGCACACACGCGCACACGCAATGCACTACGATGTAACACACTTTGTATTGTTAGGAGGACTCCTCTTCATCCTCATCCCCAATCCTCCTCCTCCTCGTGTCGGCTCTCCCCCGAAAGGCCAATCGGTCCTAAAACCATCCTCGTCGATCCTAAACATCCCATCCTGTACCGATCCAAAAGGCACCCTAGTCGCACCTTACTCTGCGCTTTATCCCAAGGGCCTCGCAATCGCCATCGCTACCCCTTCACCAACGCGCACAATCCCCATCGCTCCTCTCTCACCGTATCTCTCTCACAGCACCGAAGACAAACACAGAACACAGAGGGCGACGGAATTGTGCAGGTTAAGCTCTCATCAGTCCATTCCATTCCATTCCTCCTGAACGTCTCTCCTCCTCCTCCTCCTTCTCCACCTGTAATCGCCATCGCCATCGCATCCATCACATCACATCAGATCACATCACATCACCTTATCCTCCCCTCCTCTCCTCTCTCACAGCAGACACACGCAACAGATACAGAGGGACGGTCCGTACCTGTCCTTCCTTGTGCAGGTTACGCTCTCATCAGTCCACTCCACTCCTCTCCCATCCTCTCCCATCCCATCCCATTCCTCCTGCAATCGCACCACCTCTCCTCCTCCTCCACCCCCTGGCCATCGCCATCGCCATCGCCATCGCCATCGCTCCTCCTCTCATTCATCTCTCACACCAGAAGACAAACAAACAACAGACAAAAGACACAGAGGCTCACTCTCATCAGTCCACTCCCATCCCATCCCATCCCATTCCTCCTGCAATCGCACCACCTCTCCTCCTCCTCCACCCCCTGGCCATCGCCATCGCCATCGCCATCGCTCCTCCTCTCATTCATCTCTCACAGCAGAAGACAAACAAACAACAGACAAAAGACACAGAGGCTCACTCTCATCAGTCCACTCCCATCCCATCCCATTCCATTCCTCCTGCAATCGCACGACCTCTCCTCCTCCTCCACCCCCTGGCCTCGCCCCCCTCGCTCGGCTTCCTTCTCCTCTCATTATTCGGCGGCGTGGGCTCGCGCGCTTGAGAGGCAGAGAGAGAGAGGCAGGCCAGGATGATCCTCGGACGAACGACGACGACGACGACGAGCAAGGGGAGGAGGACGAACCTCGGCGGACGACGAGAACACGACACGTGGTGACCCCACCCCCGCCTTCCGCTCGTCTCCTTCCCATTCGAAAAAGGTATTCCAGTTCCATTCCATTCCTTGGTTCCAAATCCAAACCTCCTCCTGGGTTCGCCCATCCCATCGCGTTCGCAGTATCTCGCCATCGCGTTGGGATCATCCACGGTAGAGGATGATGATGATGGGAGGAGGCATGGACCAGCACCAAGAGGTTCTGTTGGCGGTTGAGGTTGTGTCTGATCCTTTGCAGCATCCAGAGGTGAGGCTGAGAGCGCAGAATGTGATCGACCAGGTCAAGGGGATTGCCTCCGGTTCGTCGGAAGCAACGACGACGACGACGACAGGGCTTGGGATGCCTGCGGATGATGCCTCCTCCTTGGCGCAAAGTTTGCTCGGTCTGTGCGCTTGCTTGCTCTCGTCGCAGCCGCCGTCCAAAGCTTATCTCGAGAAGAAGCTGTTCGGAATCAGTTTGCTGCAGCAGCTCGTGACCCAACAGTGGACGGACCTGTCGGAGGAACTGAAGCAGAAGACGACCATGTTCATCGTGGAGTGCTGCAGGTCCCTGTGCGTCAGTCCGGAGGCGCCGACGTACGCTGTCAAGTCCAAGCTGGCGGTTCTCTTCGCGGATATGGCGAGGTACATGTCAACGGACCCGTCCGTGATAACTCAGCAGACTCAAACTCAGGGGGAGTTTGACCCCTCAAAGTCTTCGTCGCCGCTTGTCAGCAACAACGCGATCAAGACGAACGTGCTGCCGGAGATCACGACTTGGCCGGGGACCAGGGGGGTGGAGCTGGCTTGCCTTGTGCTGAGGTGGCTGCCGGAGGGGACCACGGGCACCGTCGTCGAGGCCCTTCCGGCCAAGAGGAAGAGGCTCCTCCTCAAGGTGCTTCACGCGGCCTTGCCCGAGATGATGGGCTTTGCCTACCAGGCCCTGGAGAAGTACTACCAGGCCCTGTGCCAGGGCGAGAGCCAGAAGGACTGCAGCCAGGCTCAGGCGGAGGAGTACAAGCACGTGGTCGAGGCGACGCTGGCCATGGCTCTGGCCTACGCGGAGTGGGCGCCGATCACCCTCCTTCACCAGTCGGGGATTGTCAACGCCTGCGGGATCCTGATGCGCGACAAGCGCTTCAGGGACGCGGCTTGCGACGTCCTGAGGCAGCAGTCCGCTTGTAAATTAAAACCAATCTTTTCGGAGGACTCCAGAACTCAGGTCGTGCAGCAAGTCAGCAGCGCGGCCACGGTGGAGACCGACATTGAGAATGCAAAGATGGCCGCCAGGGCCATGTTCGAGGCCTTTTCCGGGCCTTGCGGGGAGTGCCTGGGCCAAGAGTACCTGTCTCTTGGCCTGGAAAACATAGAATTCGGGACGCTCTTGTGCGAAACGATGGTCATCTGGGGGAAGAACCACGTCAAGCTGCTCGAAGGGAGCGAGCACTTGAACTTGTATCTGAGGATGGTCATAGCGTTCATGCAGCACCCGAACATAAACATTGCGCTCATCACGGTCGACTTTTGGATTTTTCTCGTCAGAGAATCCTTGGTGGGAGACACAAGCGAGGCTGCGGCGAAGAGGCATCTCCTCCGGATTCCCGAGGGATTCCTGAGCGCGTTGCTGGACGTCGTCGTGTCCAGGCTTCAGAAGCCGGTGCTGGAGTCGCTCGACGACTTCCCAGCCGAGTATTACGACAGCGCCAAGGACTTTCAAGAAAAGTCGGCTCAAATGAGGCAGAGGCTTGTGGGAATCGCGAGGAACATTGCCAAAAGTGCTCCCGAGGAAGTCTTCCGCGTGTGTTTGGGCAACCTAGAAAAAATATTTGTACAAATACAGCAGAATCCTGACCAGAAAGGGATAGACATCGCGCTGGAGGCTGCCACACACTTTTTGTTCGTTGCGACGGGGTCGGCAAACTCCTCTGTGGTGGGCCAGTCCCCCTCGCTAGAAGCTTTGCTTGCAAAGCTTTTGAACTTTCCCCTGGCTGCAATGGCAAGGCACGCTCCGATCATCATGCAGTTTGTGAAATGCCTGGAGGCCATCGGGGGGCACAGCCACAGAGTCGTGCCGGTAGTTCAGTGTCTCTTCTCTATCTTGAGGTCGGACGAGGGAGTGGGCAGTGTTTCCGAGGACAAGCATGCGTCAAGGCAGCAGGCCGCCACGACGGTTCTGGTCTTGGCTTCAAGAGAAGAAGCCGGCCCTGCTCTTTTCCAGCACATCACAGGTCTGATGGAGCAAACCCAAGAGATGTGGGGGAAGCGCTGCATCCGTGCTGGAGAGCGCAATGCCTTGTATGAGGCAATCTTGGTAGTCTCGTCCAGCGT